CTTTCTTTACTAGGTTCCATTTCTCCAGTAACACCTGGAAATGAGGCATTATAAATTTGTCTCCCAAGTCTTCTCTTTATTACCATAAGTTACCCAGAATTCTCTATTCCCTCAGAAAAGTTCCCTTCTCAATACCACAAGACTCTTGCCTTCATTGCTCTCTGTCCCAGACTCTCAGGAACAGTCCTTTCAGGCTGTTTGTCCCACCAACCCAGACCTTAACAAATCACCCTTTATTTCCAGGACTTTAACAAAATAAATATATGTACTTTGTTTTAACTATGTATTCTACACCCCAATTGCAAAATCATCTTTACTGCAGTCTCTCAAATTCAGACATTACCAAAACTTGTCAATATGTGTAACATCTGCTGTAAAGGTCTTAATTTTCTTATATAAGCAAAACCTATCTTTCTGCTAAAGATAAAGCAGTGGATTTTTCTGTCTCCTATCTTTTGGATGGGATAATTACCTCCTTCCACCTCATTACAAATTCCAGAATTGTATTTGTGCCCTAAAGTTATGTAAGAAATCACCCCTGGGATTTAATGGCTTACAGCCACAGTAATTTATTGTTTCTCATAGTTCCTATAGGTCAAGAATTTGGGAATAACTTGACTGAGTTTCTTATTTTAATTTTTTCCCCTAGAAATGATGTACCCCTTCTACTGTAATGTATTTTTCCAGAAATTCTGTATTCCTTTCCATCTAATTTTAAGTAATATTTTTTTCAGTCCAAGTTGTCTTTAGGTTATCACATGAGGTGGTTCTTTCTACCTATTTTCAGGCAAGTAGACATTTTTTTTCTTTGCAGCCTGAGATGCATTGCAAAGTAGTTGTGCTTTATTCCATTGTTTGGGAATTTGGTTTTTTATTTTTGTTTTGGGGTTTCTTCTTTCTGCTTTTTATATGTCAGTGCAATTTGTTTCATATTTTTCTTTACTAAGTTGACTTTCATCTACTTTTTCCAGTGTTGTAAGCTTGTTTGTTTGCAGGTGTTTGGTTGGAATAATAGAAGAGGTTAGGAAATTGCTAGTCAGTTATCATTCTTTAAAAATATTATTTTTATTTTATGTGTATGCGTGTATTGCCTTATGTAGGTAAGTGCACCCATGTCGTGCAATGCCCACAGAGGACAGAAGAGACTGTCAGATCCCCTGGAACTGGAGTTACAGACAGTTGTTAGCAGCCATGTGGGTGCTGGGATTTGAACCCAGGTCTTCTACGAGAACAGTCAGTGTTCTTAACTGCTGAGCCATCTCTCCAGCCCCATCAGTTATCATTTTTAAGTTATAAGGAACTCAGCTGTGTTTCAGGAGATAGGATTCATTGAAAGTGTAGGACCTTTTGTTGGTAGTATTTTTTTAATTTCATCAAATCATCCCTAATAATGTCATTCCTCAGTTTCTGTAATGTATTGTTTCCAGGACTCCTCAGAGCTAACAAAATCTACAGATGTTCAAGTTCCTTATATAAAAAATAGTATAATATTTTCACGTAGCCTACATGGATTATTACTAAACTTTTAAAAATCATCCATAGGTTACTTTAAATACCTCATACATGTAAATGTTATCTAAATAGTTGTTATATAGTTTAGGGAATAATGATATGAAAAGTATAGTCTGTGCATGCCTAATACAGACTAAATTTTCTAACTTTTGCTCTGTGGTTGATTGAGCCTATGGCTATAGAATACGGGATGCAGAGGGCTGACTATTCTCATGCCTTGCTTTTTCATTTGATTAAGTCTCTGTTCAAACATCAGATTTCATATTAATGAGAACAGAACTATTAGATTACTGTCCTCTGAATGCCTATGGGTGTTCCATAACACTGCTTCCTTCACTCTCTGGGCTTCACTTCTGAACAAGATCATCCTCATTTCTTTATTCCAGGTTAATATACACAATTTTCCTTGCTCTAAGAATGCTGAGAAAAAAAAAAGTTCAGGAACCATAATAGGTTCAGAACCTAAGTGACAGTGACTTAAACAAGAAAGAGAACTATTTCTGTTTTTAATCTAGAGTTAGACAATTTAGTATGGGAGTTATCCTCTTAAAAAATCCTCTGGGACCCCTGGTTCTTCTATGTATTTTTATTTTATGTATATGAATGCATGTAAGCGCACCTGTGTCAACGCAGTGCCCACGGAGATCAGAAGAGGGTGTTTGATCCCCTGGAACTGGACTTATGGACGGTTGATAGTGGCCCTGTGGGTGCTGGGAACTGAGCCTGGGTCCTCAGCAAGAGCAGCAGTGCTTTTAACTGCTGAACCATATCTTCAGCCCTCTGGCTCTTCTATTTTCATTTGTCCACCTCTGCCCTTCTTGTTTACATGGTTCTAGTTGACTGAAGAAAGGGAGTGGGGAACATAAGGAAAAGAGTGTGTCTACTGCATTGAAGCATGAATTCGCTTTCATCACTTTTGCCCACACTCCACTTGCCACAGCCTAGTCCTGTAGCTATTCTAGTAAATCTGTGTAAGCCTGAAAATTCCAGGCTTGAATCTTAAAAGCTCTTTTACACTGGGTATGGTGGCGCACATCTTTAGTCCCAGCACTTGGGAGGCAGAGGCAGGTGGATCTCTGTGAGTTCAAGGCCAGCTGGTCTACTTAGGAAGTTCCAGGTCAGCTGGGGCTACAGGGAGAACCTGTCTTAAAAATTAAATAACTAAATAAATTAATTAAAATAAAGCTCTGTTACTATAATGAACAAGGGGAGAATGTATTTAGGGATGAGAACTTGACTTTTATTGGTTAATACTTTTTTTTGTCTAACCATACGAATATAATTGCATGCATTCTAGTGCTTTATTCTGTAATGATATGTGGTATCTTAATTCTTTCCTTAAGCAATAATCATGCCTCAGTTAAAGCATAAAACCTTCCATAAAATTCAAATCACTGTTTCAGGTAATCTTGAAAATAGAATTGGTCCAAGGGACTCTACAGTCTGCATAGACTTCAAAGGCTACATGAGCTGTGCAATTGCAAGTGAGGTAGTTTATGAATTTCCCTTGATATAGCTTCATAGCTAAAAGCATGGACTCCTGAGTCAGACTGCCTGTCAAAATTTGTAAATCGATACATTTTATTATCTTACCTGTACTCAGTTCCCCAATAGTAGTGGACTTAGTTTAGAATTGCTACAGGGACTAAAGCAAGTTAGTACATTTAAAGCACTTACAGTACTGTCTCACAGTATAAATACTATAAAAATACTAGAATTATATACTCCAATTCTGAAGGTGGAGGGAAATGTAAGACTTTCAATCTGATTTTCAGTAGGTATATTATAAATTTTAATTAAAAATATTTATTTTATATGTATGAATGTATTGACTGCATGTATGTAAATGCACCAATGTCATGCAGTGTCCACAGAGGTCATAAGAAGGTGGTGGATCCCTTAGAACTGGAGATATGGAGAGTTGGTAGCCACCATGTAGGTGCTGAAAACCAAACCTAAGTCCCTTGCAATAGCAGCCAGTGCTCTTAACCTCTGAACCATGTCTCCAGTCCCTAAATTTAATTTAAACTTTATCTCTTTTAGTCAAAAGTCATTCAGCCCTTCGTAATACCAAATTTACTTAGTGGAATATACTTCAGCTGCATTTTAAGTATTTTTTAATTTGGGGCTGGAGAGATGGCTCAGCAGTTAAGAGCACTGACTGCTCTTGCAGAAGACCTGGGTTTGATCCCTAGCATCCACATAGCGGCTAACAACCATCTGTAACTCCAGTTCCAGGGGATCCGATGCCCTCTTCTGACCTCCACGGGCACTGCATGATGCTGGTGCACTTATGTGCAGGCAAGACACTCATAAACATAAAACAAACAAATAAAATAATTTATATTTATGTTTATCTATTTTTCAATTACTTGCCACATTTTTAGTAACATTGATATTTATTTCTAAGACCTCCTTTAAAATATAAATAATTTCCAGACACTGGTTGTTCTTGCAGAAGATCCTGGTTCAAATCCCAGCACCCACACGGCAGCTAACAGTTGTCCCTAAATCCAGTTCCAGAGGATCCAATGGCCTCTTCTGTCCTCCGCGGTCATTGCACGGGATGCGTGCACTTACCTAAATGCAGGCAATATACTCACATACATAAAATAAAAATAATAAATAAAATCTTAAAAATATATATATATAACAACCAACCATAACTCCAGTTCCAAGAGATCAAACACCATCTTCTGACTTCTGTGGGCATTGCATGACATGGGTGCACTTACGTACATACAAGCAGTACACTCATACATATAAAACAAAAATAATAAATAAAAACATTTATTTAAAAACATGTTGGGATTAATATAGGAGGAATGTGAACCTCAACAAGTTACATATATGTAACTCTGTGAGCTAGTTGGGCAGTAGCTATGTTGATTTTGGTTGTCATTATTTGAATCATTTGTGAAATTGAGCCAAACTGGAATACAGCTGAAAACATTACCGCTTCTTAAAACACTGAAGAAATAAGAGCCTATACAGCTGTGCCTTTTCTGAAAAGTTATCATAGTGGCAAAAAAAAAAAAAAAGATGCTTCAGTATTGTTAAGAATGAAGTCATACTGTTCTTTAATAAATTGTGAACTGGTGTATTTTTTTCCTTTTAGGAATTTAGGTCAGCCATAAATGTCTTTTATGTCATTTGTTATCTCTCATGGTTACACTAAACAGGAAGACCATTTGCATTTTAAATTGCATTTGTTAAATCTTACATAAATAGTTTTGGCAAATTAGTTAGTATCAGACCTGCAGTTTAAACATGAAGTAGCTGTTCTTGCACTAATACTTTTTCATAACATTAACATGCTTTCAATTAACAAACTGGAATGAGCTGTTAAATATCACATCACCACTTCCATTTTTGAACCACTGTTTGACTTTCTCAATGACTAATTGGCCATCTCAATAAGATTGTTTATTATAACTGAAAAAGGAAGGTATTTATTTAAATAATCCATATTTTTTTCCCATCTGCAGAATGTACTCAAGAAAATTGGGGATTTCCAATGTGCCACTATTTAAAGAAGGAGAGCTGGTGCTGTGGCCGTAATGCAAGAATGGCAGCATGTTTGGTATGGTTATGTTTTTCTTAAAAAGCAAAAGAATTCTATCCAGATGTTACACAAGTCATTATTTTTGGCTAATACCATGGTAAATGCCACATTTTGCTTAGCATCATCTTTAATGTTTTTGTATATTGCAATTTGTGAGAAAATAATCACAAAGTTCTTCAAACATCTATTCTGTGTTCAGTATCATGGCAAATATTTGCATGTCATTATTTTATTTAAGATAAGAAATATACCAACTACCAAGTCTTAAACACAAAATTAATTCAGTCCTTTATATGGAGCCTTATAGTATTCTTGTGTATTTGTGGAAGTCTTTTCATTTAATTATTCTGTAGAATGAGAAAAATTATTGAGCTATATGAGACTTCATTGTGCTTGATTTGACTGTGTTCCTAGACAGAGAACACTAACAGATGTTAGTATTCTTTGTTCATGATACCATGTTAGTTTACAGAGGAAGAAGTTAAATATTATAGGTGAATAATCATCATCAGAAAGTTAATATATTGTAGTTAGTTTGGAAAAATAAGTGTAGAAAACTAAGGTACATCCTTAGGACTGTAATTAGTACTAGTGTATTATATACTTGAAATTTTTCCGAGAATAGATTTTTACATGCTCCTGTCACATACACAAAACAAGGTAAGATGATAGAGATGTTAAATTGTTTATGTAGTAATCACTTCACTATGTCTATGTACATCAAAGCATGTTGGTTTACTTAAACTTATATAATAAAATTTTTAAATGAAATACAGTTTATTAAGGAATTTATTTTATGCCAAGCATAAGGTAAATAAATTCTTAAAAACCCATTATTTCTGTTACTGGTATAATACTATGTCATTTTAAGTTACTGCAGAGACTTTATATCCTAGGACTATCTTAGAGACCTACTTATTCTCAAATAATAATTCCCTTATGTAGCACACTTAACCTCTCTGGAAATTTCTCTTCATTTTATATGTAAGTGAAATATGCTCAGAAAATTGTTAGAATGACAGTCATTCTTAAAATGGCATGTTTGGGATACAATGATACAGGCTTACACCCTAAAAGAAGGAATTAAAAGAGCTTTTTCTAGGGAAGTTGACTTGATGTACATTTGTTCTGTAACATTCAAAATTTTACTGTAGCACATTTTCATACAGTGAATCCTCCTGTTCCCCCCAATATCTGTATGGTGTGAGGGCATAAGATGTAAATAGAGATTCAAAGAGCAAGATTTTAGCTCACGGTCAGTCACTAGCTACACAGCTTGAGGCAAGTTGCTGATCTTGCCAATGATCTTATACATCTGCAAAAAGTATACTCCGTATACTCTGTATAATCTGTAAATTATATTCTAATGTAAAAACGTGTATATTTCAGCTTTATCTAAGTCTATTTATGAAAACATTGAAACCTGAAACAAAGCTATTTCAAATTTGAGTAGCAAGCATATACAGATCAATTAGACTATTTGGAATGTTTCCTAAGTAACATTTAAAAATAAACTTTCAGTTAAATTGTTAACATCTAGGGGCTGGAGAGATGGATTAATGGTTAAGAATACTGGCTGCTCTTATAGAGGACCTGGGTTTAATTTCTAGCACCCACATGGCAGCTAACAGCCGTCTGTAACTCCAGTTCAGGGGGAATTCAGTGCCCTCTTCTGATCTGAGCAGGCATTGCTTGACACAGGTACACTTACACACATGCAAGCAATATACTCATACCATAAAATAAAAATAATAAAATGTTTTTTAAAAAATTGTTAGCATCTTGGGGCTGGAGAGATGGCTCAGTGGTTAAGAACACCGGCTGTTCTTGCAGAAGACCTGGGTTCGAATCCCAGCACCCACGTGGCAAGCATCTAATTTAATTATAAGACTATAGCCGGGTGTGGTGGCACACGCCTTTAGGGAGGCAGAGGCAGGCAGATCTCTGTGAGTTCAAGGCCAGCCTGGTGTTTATAGTGAGTTCCAGGCCAGCTAGGACCACAGGGAGACTCTGTCTCAAAAAGATCCCCCCCCTCAAAAAAGACTGTATAAATGTGGAAATGTATGTCTGACAAAAAATTTCATAAGGCCTTATTCCACATATAAATTAAGGAGTAAATATTTTGTATATGTTAGATGATGAGTTTTTATTAGAAATGTTAGGAAATATTTTGGGGCGTGGTGGCACACACCTGTAGTCCCAGCACTTGGGAGGCAGAGGCAGGTGGATCTCTGTGAGTTCAAGGCCAGCCTGGGCTACATAGTGAGCTCCAGACCAGCTGGGGCTACAGGGAAACCCTGTTTCAAAAAAACAAAAACAAAACAAAAAGTCTTGTTTTTAAGAATATATGTAGAAATCAATACAAATAAAATTGTAAAATTCTGTTGTAATACTTCTACTAGTTCTGTTGCAATACTTCTACTAGTTACTAGTTATTCTGGTACTGCAATACCTAACCGAAACAACTGAGAAAGATTGATGTGTGCTGACAATTTCAGAGGGTTTTAGTCCATCATAGCATGGGTGGCAGGGTGGAACAGCTCAGTTCATGACTGCCAGGGGAGAGAGTCCAGGAAGCAGAAAGACCATGACAGGAACCAGAAACTGCATGTAAACTTCAGAAGCCTACCACTAGTGATCTGCTTTAACCAGTTAGGCTGTCTATAAAGGTTCTGCAGCCTCCCCACATAGCTCCAACCACTGGGAAACGCATTTAAAACATGGAAGGACACTTTAGACCTAAACTAACAAGTTCCATATCTTCTGGCACTAGATCATATGTGAATTTGCTTTGAATTTGCATACCATGCAGACCAAATATATTTCTTTTCTGAAAATACCCCACCAACTATAATCTGCTCATTTTTGTTTGTTAAAAGGTGAAATTAGAAATGGGCAAGTAGCTCAGTGATAGGGCACCTGCTTAGTTACTTCATGAATCAGGGTTTAACCCTCAACACTGGAGGAAAAAGAAGGGTGAAATTACATGTATATTATAAATTATAAGTATGTTATAAATAAGTTTGTGACTATATCTGTGTCTTTTTTCATACATAATAGCAACTTTGGATTGGATTGTCTAGCTACACTAAACATGAGTCAGACTGTTATTTCATTTCTTTCTGCTTTCTAATTCCTTCTATAATTCACAGAGTGTGTGTAGTTGGAGTATGAATGTGTTTATATATATATGACACATGACCATTATAAATTAGCCTTCATTTATACAAGCATACTGGTTAACATTCTTTAATAATACAACACTTTTAGCTGTATAAACTTCTATGTTATCACTTTATTAATCTTTTTAATTGTCAGTATTACAAATCCTTATACAGTATATTTATAAATCTTATGAGATAAGACTAAATATATCAGCAATCTTTGTCTTGGTTTTTTCTCCTTTAAGGCATTGGAACGGGTTACACTTGGACAAGGGGTAAGTGAGAGTGTTTACTTTAATCCAGCTAATGAACAAGATAGTTTATCTCTCAAGCCCTTTTCAGACTTGACCTGCTGTTGAACTTGAAACCTGATGGATTTTAATAAATATCACCTCTGCTTGTCAGCACTGCATATTCAAATATATACACACTCCATATGTTTACTTGAAAGCGAACTTTCAGAACTGTACATTGAGTTTTGAGGAAAGTTTCCATATTATGCTCTTATACTAGCCTCTCATTTCTTCATATTGTATTAAACAGTCTATAAATATTTCTAACAAATGTTGTTACTGATCATCCAGGGGTTTAGTTCAAGCAAAGAAAAATTGTATAACACACATTCTTCTATTTAACTATAATCTAAAATGTATTTCAGTTGGTTGTTTGATAGCCTTTTCAGTCTGATTAGTCAGTAGTTAAAATAGCTAAATGATTTTGCAAGTATAAACATAAGTTCAGTATATTCCCCAAATATCCATATAATGTATTATCTTTCATCATATTTTCATGAAACATGCTAGAAATTTTTAAGAACTTTTTTGAAACTTTCCACAAAATTATTCTGTTAAACCTAAATTTTAGAACTCTTCGGCTTCTTTTCAAAGAACATTAATGTCAATTTTAATTTTTAAAAAAGGATAATTTAAGAAGAGTAGTGTCAATAACAAGTACTTTGTCTAGGCCAGGAACACTGGTACGTACTTTAGATGTGTTGGAAGTGGTTGTTATTTTTTTTACTGTATTATTTTTTCCCTAATAGTGAATGAGGGAATGAAATAGGTGAAATGCTTCAAATACATAGTAAGTGCTCAGTAAATGTCAGCTATCATTACCATAGTAGATAGTAATTATGATTGTGAAAATAGTAGTTAAATTCTAATGTAGAGCTTACCAAAGAACTGTTCAAAGTTCTCACAACCAAAGTATTAAATACATAGGACTTTGAATTATGTATCATTATTATCCCATTATATTCACAAGGCAACTGTGAGATAACTAAGTCTTGGATTTGAATCTGCGTCACCTAGACTTCAAGTTCTTAACTTCTGTAGTATACAAAGTACCTTCTGTAGTACACTAGCATCTTAGTGGTTTCCTAAGGGCTCTGGAAAAATAAAGGACTTTTATCAACTTAGTGCCTATTGGTACAATCTTTTTTTTTTCCCAAGTGTTTTCTTATGTTTCCATTCAATCTTAGCAATTGGATATTGTTCTAACCATATATAAGAGCATATTACACAGAAGAAGTTTAATGGTATAGTTTAACCCCTTTAATTAATTTCAGATCCTTGACTTCTCACTTTTTTCCCTATCCACTAGTTCTGTGAAATATATACGTAATACATGTTTTATGGGTATACACCCTGTTTCATTAAGTAGATTTATCACTTGTGAGGGAAGAAAAGTAAATTCTGTGCCACATCCAGTTTATTCCTTTAATAGTTAAGCACAGGCTACTTAGGAAAGTTGACTCTCTACCCACTTACTCCCCATCTGTATGTATCAGGATGGATAGTCCTATTTATTCCAAGAATGTGCATTTGAAAGCTCTTCATAATTCTTTTATATTTATCTTAGGAATGAGCTGTAAGCTCTTATTTACTTGGAGCAACTTGGGAATGATATATATTTTATCCTGTTTGTATTTCTCTATGCATTCTAAATATGTATATTCTTCCTGATTAAAATGTATTCCATTTTATAGATTATAAAAGATTATAATCTTTTGTTGTTGATTTATCATTCTCACAGGTTTTTATAAAGTATACATTTACAAACTACCTTTTAATAATAGAGTTAAAATTATATCAATAGCATTTTATGAAATTTTTTCAAAAGCATAATAAACTTTAACTACTTCAGTTTTATATAAAGTAAAAAATGTCATCTGTTGTATAGGTAAGCCAGTAAAAAGTTAAGAACTTTTTAAGCAGTTTATAATTCTAATATTTCATACAAGAGATTTACCAAAATGCTTGGCATTTCAGTAGAACATTAGAAGACTGGGTGCTAATCCATAAAAAGGAATCTAGCATTTATGTGAGAGAAGTGAAGAGGTTTTTCAAGGAAATAGAGGAAAGTGATAAAATAGAAATTTTGATATTGTAGAAAAGTTACTCAAATAAGAAAAAGATTAAATAGGAATATATCTGGACATAAGAAATTCTAGATATTTTAACATTTCATGGTAGGGAAAATTTTAGTGGATTTTATCTCAGGTGAACAAAATGTATTTGGAAAGAGATTTTAGTATCAGAATTTTGCCTTTTGAAGGTCATACATTTTAGCACTCAAGTATATATAGAAGTCTACTTTGAAGGAAATTTAGAGACTTTGATATTCCTAGCACCATTCCCTATTGGAATCACCTACCTCACTGTTTCACCTTTCAGAGCTAATGTGTTCTTTCTAAGTGCTATACCTTAATTCAGATGTTCTCCAGTGATTTAATAGTTCAGAACCATCTACTAAAGACCCAAGAAATAACCCTCAACTCTCAAGTAAGCTCAGCACCATAATGTGAGACTTGTTAAATGGTTGTTGTAGAGAGTAGATTTTCTGCCCTTAAAAACACTGTCAAGATTTTATTTTATGTTAACTTATAATGAGTTCAAACATATCTAATCTGGTTGAGAATATATAAAAATGAGTCTGGGAAAAAGTTCAGTCAGAAAAGTGCTTGCCTTACAGGCGTGAGGACCTGAATCCAAGCCCCAGAATCCTTGTGAAAAAGCCAGGTGTGACACTGCACACTTAGAATCCCAGAAATGCAGAGGCAAAGACAGGCTCTGGGTCTTGCCAGCTAGCCAACTTAGTCCGTTTGGTGAACTCCAGGCCAGTGAGAGCCCATCTTTAAAAAGCAAGTGGACGATTCCTGAGGAAAGAACTTCTGAGGTTGTCTTCTGGCTTCCACACACTCGCACACACACAAAGAAAACATAAAAATAACAGTTTGGGACCTCAGAGGGAAAAAGTTAAAAAGACTAAAGACTAACTCAAAAAAAAAAAAGACTAACTCAGTAGTTGCCACGCATCTCACTAAACTGTGTCTTTAGAACTTGACCAGCCATTGTACAGCTAGTTTCATCTTATCTGACATCGCCACAGCATTCATCATTATTAGCCTTCTTTACTATTTGCTCATCTTTCCCTTCGTTTTTCAGTAGTAATTTTGAATGAAACCTGGCTTGTTGCTGTCATTATTTCATGTTAGCTATTCCTGTACTGTCAGCATCAAGAGCTCTCTGGAGGTGGAGCTGGAGTTTTGATGACCTGCGTCTTTTCTTGGTCCAAGCATGCCACTTCCCTTGATGCCTGAAGTGCTTTTAGTTTATTATATTCTACTGAACGTTTTTGCCTCTGCTTCTTTTCAGCCATTGCTTCTTTTCTTTAAAACCTTTTGAACCTTCATATATAGCCCTCCATCTCTCTTTCTGCCAAAAGTGCTGTCTTCTGTTTCCTACATCCCTTCCAACTCTTCTTCTCTGTTGTGATGTGATGATCTTTCATGCATCAGGCATGTTTTTAGCATTTGCACTTAGGTAGTATCTTCTCTTTTAGAGTGTGAATCCTAGTCATCTCTAATCCACTTCAGTTAGGGAAAAGCCACGTGATCTCCTTTACACGTGTTCTTCCTAACTCTGATAGACTTCAGAGATGATTTGGCTGGTCTTAAAAGTTTATTTCTACATTTTTGATGAGCAATCCATTTGGAGCAAAAAATTATTTTTTATTGATTATGACTTTTCTTCTTCATTGTCTACTATTTTTATGGCTTTTTTTCTGTTTTCTTTCAGAATTATTTTCACGGTGAGAATTAGTCTCAGGGTAATACTTTAACTTAGAGTGGAAAAACTATAAAATCCTTCTCTATGTTTAACAACAAAGTCATGTTTGTGACATTTACTAGATCCCAAGTCTCTAGTATTAATTTGATTTCTGGACTTTATTTATTTTTCTCATATGTGTATCTTCATTTTTTTCAGCTGCCTACCGAATCACTCTTCTATCGTGCTGTTCTTCAGAATATTATTAAAGATTATTATGGCATCGCCAAATGGTATGAAAATTTTATTTGCATGTTTGCCCAGTACCCTCAGTTCAATCCTTAGCAACCAACCAACCAACCAAACAAACAAACCATAAATAAGTTATTGTTAGAGAACTTAATATTTAGTGCTTGGGTGAATTTATAAAATATAACTTAATTTTTTTTTAAGACTTTGTATTTGAGCTATGTAACAAATATGCAACAGCTGTATTAGGTTAGTCAGTACTACTTTGTATTTTATTCATTATTTTTATTTTATGTATAAGTGTTTTGCCTGCATATGTGTACATGCACCCATGTCATGCAATGCTTGCAGAGGTCAGAAAAGGGCATTGGATCTCCTGTAATTGGAGTTACAGATGGTTGTTAGCCTCCATGTGGGTGCTGGGATTCAAACCCGGAGCCTCTGCAAGAGCAGCCAGGGCTTTTAACTGCTGAACCATCTCCCTAGCCCCCTAATTTGAGTTTTTGATGAATCTTTTTCTTGAAATATTATTGTAATGCTAAAGTAATATTTAAATCATATAGTAGAACTTTTTATTTATTATTTTATGTGTATGAATATTTTGCTTGCATGAAAGTGCACCCCTGTTGTGCAGTGCCCATAGAGGTCTGAAGAGAATGTCAGATCCCCTGGAACTGCAGTTATGGATGATGATTAGCTGCCATGTAGGTGCTGGGAACCAAATCCAGGTCCTCTGAAAAAGCAAATAGTGCTCTTAACCACTGAGCCATCTCTCTCTAGCCCCATAGAGTAGAACTTTTGAAATATTAAAAGGTTTTATATTAGTAATTTATGAATATATTGCCATTTGAGTGTCATTTGTGTTATATTTTACAACTGTATGATATAACTGAGACTAAAACGTGTCCATCATAAACAACCATTGTGGTCTCTATTGGTAGTATAGTAGCCCTGCGTATGTTTATTGTTATTTTTTCTGTTTTCCTCTAAAATTCATTGCTTATATAGAGAAATAAAGAATAGGAGAAATTTTCCCATAATACTAATTTAACAACTTCTGTAGATTCAAGCATATACTTGCAATCTTGACAGATTTTAGGAATGTCTGATCCTAATTTTAGGATTTTATAGCTGTTTAGGATAATAGGATTACTGGTTAAATTTAATTAAGGTGATTTTCAGCTTCTCAAAACAATATTCGTGTTTTAACAGAAATAGAGGGACTTGATTAACTATTGCTTGGTAAGAAAAAAAGATCATTTATTGACAGAATATACTACATAAAAATGCCTATATAGAATGTTGGTTACAACTAGTATTTATATTTAGATAACTACCTAAATGTATGATCTCTTTTCCATATATTTTCCAGTCTTTAAAATGTCTAAAAAGAAATTCTTATGTTCTCCTGAAAACCAAGTCCTTCTCTTGAGCTCATCCTTTGTTGAAAACCATAGTTATAAAATTGTGGAATTTCATATCTACTCAAAAACTGACAGCTTGGACTTTTAAGACTTTCAGTGAATTTGTAAATATACTCATTGTTCTCTTAATGACTTCTTAAATTTGTTTCCATTCTTTCTAAATCTCCTTCTCACTTAAAAATTCAGGTCTTTGTGATTTCCCAGAAGAGAATTAGTATTTTCTTTCACACTAGAGCCTCATTGATTTTTCACCCACATTTCACTATGTTACTAATTGTTTTTCCTCTAAATTCTCCTCCTTAGTATCTTTTATTATGTTACATTCTTCTGAGCTTCAGTTTCCTCATCTGAATGTTCATCCTAACTGCCCAGTAGTATTTACCAGTTTTCTGATGGAAAACTCTCTGCCAGTCAATAGAAGACAAGAAAAAGTGAGCACAGCAGTTTTAGTTAGTAAAAGAATTGATGGTGTTAGGATGAAAACTTGAGAGTAGCCAGGTGAGCCACTCGTAGTTAGGTCCCTAATGATTCCCACTTGGAGAGTAAGAATGAACTAGAAATATAGTAGTCATAAAAAAGAGGAGAGCCTACTTCAAATCATCTCAGGCTGTGGTAGAAGCACTTCAGATTCTGGTAGCTGTCTGCAAGAAGCAAATCCTGTCTGGACAAAGATAAATATAGACCTCAAATGATCACTACAGTTTGCTGTATACGGCATCTAGCAAATAATTCAAAATAACCAGCCATGTGATGAAACTAGACAACATGATCAAAATTCAGGACAAACCACAGTTAAGAGAGATTGGCCCTTAGGAGAGCCAGAGAAAAGTTTCAAGCAGCTATAGCTGTACTGCAGATACTTACAGTAATAGAAAATGGAATAGATGTACTTTTTTCTGTTATTCTTGATAAGTACAACAAAAAACCCTTGAAAATTATATGTTAAACATAAGAGAATGAAAAGATAGTTGATAAGGCAGATTGCCTAAGGGTCTCAGGATCCACCCAAACAACACATTATTCCCTGGGTTTTCTTTTTATTTCACATAGTCCAGAATTGTTGCTTTAAAAAGGTAGCAATTCAGAAACACCAATGGCCAGAGACAAATAAAAATCCTAAATTATTGTAGCCTTCTCTACAAGCAACGGACCAGAAAACGGAAAGCCTCAGAAAAAAACATACAGACAAATCTTCTAAACTATAGCCAAAAACCACAGAAAAACCTAAGGCCTCATGCTTACAAAGGCCAAGTGAAAGTCTAGGCTTCTGACAGCCCCTTGATGGAGTATTATCAGTTAAGACTGAATAGAAAACTGGCACTCCAACCCCCCCCATGTGCTAAGAAGTATCCTATCACTACTGCCTTCACATTGTAGAGACCACATGAGTAGCTTCATTCCCTGCGCAGCTGTGCAACAGTAATTGCTTTCTTTTTCTTTCACCAAAGACAGCCTAGAAGAGAATCAGGGCTTGGACTATTGTCCAACAGCAACTCCGCTACTTCTCTGATCAGTGGAGATCACATGGGATCCTAGCAGAAACAAGGACCAACTCCACTAGCCGCCTTGAGTATCGCTAGTAACGGACTCGGATGTGTATAGCAACATTATTCCTAGGTGCCAAAACTGAAGGAATCCAGATATCCCTCACTCGATATGTAGTTAAACTTTGATAGTTCATATAAGAGAATGTTACTTAGCAGTAAAACAATGGAACATTGATACATACAACAACCTGGATAAATCTCTAGAGAATTATACTGGGTGAAAAAAAAGCCAGTCATAAGAGGTCATATGATTCTGCTTATTCATGTTCTTGGGGTGAACATGTAGCTGTGGGATAAGAGCGTTTTGCTAGCATACACAAGGCCCTTGGTTCAGTCCCTCACCCACAACAGGGCAAAGTGTGGGGGAAAAGATTAATCCACTTCTATATGTTGTTGAAATGACAAAATTATAGAAATTGCAAGATACTACTGGGTGCTGCGATAAGTGATCAAAAATAAGTGATCTTTGAGATAATGGAAATTTTGTATTTTGACTGTGTCAGTATCAGGATCTGCTATGTTACCATGCTGAGACATGATGGGAAACCAGATAAAGGGTATACTAATGTCTGTTATTTCTCATAACTTCCTGTGATCTTAAATTATCTTAAAATGTTCAGTTAGAGCAAACTGCATTATGTACATTGAAACAAAATATTTATGGTCAGGGAATCAGTACATAACAAATATGACTGGCTTCAACTCAAAACAGCATAGTTGTATTGTTTCACTCTCATAGGTATCACGATGGGTACCATCTTTCTGTTTATGAAAACTTGGAGGTCAAAAAGGACATCCAATCCTCAGCACTAGTCAAGAAATGACGTCAGTCTGAATAAGCCCAGAGCTCAGGAATAAACAGCTCAATACCCAGGCATATTCAGAAAAGCTGTTTATTGACTAGTCCAAACTGAAATATTTAGTTCAATCCTAAAATGTTTGAAATACAGTTTTAGAGCAGAATTGAGGACACTAGGGACGAAGACTACAACAGCTTTAGTGTTGGCCATTTTCACTATCCTATAGCTCTGCATTCGTTATCTGATATTATCCAAAAGATGGTATTTGTGTTAGACTATTTTATGTCATGGGACCAAATCCACCTTTTAAATGCTGGTTGAATGGGTAGATTGATGAATGTGCCGGACAGGGGGAAGAAAGAGAGAAAAAGAGAGGCCCTTACATATTGTTAGAATGAAAGTTTTCAAGAACAGCAAGAAAATGAAGAGATTCAATGCAGCTGACTTAGTAAGTACTCAGAAAGTTATATGACCTAGTAGTGCAACATACAATGAGGGGTATGCAGGCATACCTAACCTAATACCAGACTCAGTGCTTTCGCCAGCATTCTCCTCTAGTACTCAGGTTTGGGCCCCTGAGTTCTTTCAGCATGAGCCCTTCCTTTAAAATATGTTTGATTTGGAAATATGAGCGTCTGCGAAGAGGATGTGGAGAGGAGGTGGTTGATGAGAAAATGAGCTCTACAGTACACTGAACACTGTTCATGATTCAGTTTTAAGTATTGGTGGCAGTTTTATTCCTATATTCTGTCGCTCTTGTCCTTATGCTTCGAAAAATGCTGCAGGTTCCTGGTATTATTGCAGAGAAATTAAAACTGAATAGCTGTGAATTGCATAATTACTTCAGGCAGTTACACAGAACCAACTCTAACGATATTTATTTTGTACCTACTATTTGTCCTTCATGAATTTGCTAAGAAAAGGAATTCTAAATTAAAATGTCAACCCTACCAAAGAGTTTTGTTTCTAGCAATATTGTAGGGTAAATAGCTAATAATAAAGTACCAAATAAAATACATTTTTAAAAATTAATGCATTACTGAGCTGAAAAAAAGAAAGGAATTCTCAAAGACCAGAATCAAGTGATTATAGGAATTCAAGAGTTGGGGGTGAGGGGAGGCAGTGCTGAACTCTGTAGCCTTTCCTGACGCATCTATGATCCTAATGACCTTTCATTTTTCTTTCCTCTGATGTCCAGGGTTTGGAGTAGTGGGGCATAAATCCTGCTACCTAATAATGAGTTGTTTAACAAGAAATTCACTCACCAAGAAGA